GATGCACAGACCGTAACTGCTGCAATTTAATGTGTGGTGTAGTGCAGTTGCACGAGGTGGTTGCCACGCTGCAATTTCACGACATCTAATCCAGCTGTTGTTACCCTCCTACTCTCTACTCCCGGTCGCTTGTGAACGCTGGTAGACGCTGGCAGACGCTAGCTCGATATCCATACTTCTTTACTCACTGACGCTGCCGGACGCTCGGAACGCTAGTGGACGCTGGTGAATGTTGCCACAAAGTATGAACGCAGCCCAACCATTTGACTTCTGTGAAAAGTGCGAGGGACTGCGTAGAGGCCAATTTCATCTGGGGTGCATGGCGCAATCGAGCGAGTGGTATTTTCCTTCTGTTTGATAGCGCCCAGATTTTGATCGAACAGCTGAAGAAGAGTTTACATCTGGGAGGTTTTAGTAATCTGCTCCTAATCAATTAACTAGCTTATCTACGTACAGAGCTGCAAACTTCAAAAAACTTAGTCTAATCTTCGTGCTGAGAGGCAGACGATATCACGTGAGAGCCGATCGTTTTTACGACCCCCCTCAGACGCTCTGCGTGCGATTGCACTTGCACTCGAACCTTTCTACTTTTTAACCTTTACTCTCGTCATTTACAATCGCTTTCACTTCTTCCCTCCAGCCTTTCCCTGGTCGCTTCATTGCGCTGCTAGTGCTTCACATTTATGAGCTCATAAACTCTCCCGTATAGCCGTCCATTCACGTCAGTTGTCTATCACAGGACTTTTCGCGTAGTAAACCGCTCACTTCAGGTCATTTACCAGTGAGTGCTTGCAGATGATACCGCTTATACTGGTCGTCTTACTTGTGGCATTGTCAGTAAATGGGCATGAGGAGGACGATCATGATATTCTTTCTGCACATGGTGGTGTCTTCCGCGATTTACATTGGACCAACGACGAACTCGCTGAGATCTCAAAACTACACACTACCGCTTCTCATCACGAACTCATGAAGCTTGTCGCGGTGAGTCGCTGTTCGAGGTCTTTGTATTCACTGAGCTTTGAAGTTGAATGGTTTGCGGTTTGACGCAGTGAGCATCGCATAACATTTGCGTTGATCCAGCCATAACGTTCTTCTGCAGCAGAGTGGGTGTAGGGGTAGCAGCTGTATCTCGAATTCCTATACCCTTAAATTCCCTGTAAAGCATCATTTGAACTTACCCGGGTGATTTCCCGCTGATACGTATGGGGTTTCTGATAATAATGATGATGTTAACGCGATGATGTAGTGCGATCCAGAGGCGAAAATGGTGTTAAAGGCAAATGACTCATTACAATGCACGTGTTCGGAGGTACAATCTTGAATTTGTGTCGAAGTATTCTTAATTTGGCACTATTTACCCTTTACTGCCCCAACCATCCACAATTAAGCTAGTTTTTACCCGCCTTTTTTTCCGATAGACAGATTTGGCTCAAATTGGTTGACTTCCACCGGTAGTTGACCCCTGAACACGAATATCACATTCGCTCAGCCCCGAAACTTTTTGACGCCCGCGCCACAGTCGCCGATGATTTGCGGTATTTTGGCGCCAGCGCCTGTAGCTCGGGCGTCAGGAGGTTCAAAGGTGACGGCGGATTGTGTATTCTGTTCGGGAGTCAAACTATCCAGGCGTACAACGTTTCATGTTCAATTCTTGCCAGACGCAAGTAAAAGTTCGCGTTAGAAACTGGGCCTTGTTTTTAGAAGAGCTGCTGCAGGCTGACGGTAAATAGTGCCCGTAATTTTTGTGAGGGCTCCCATCATGACCACAGGTTTTCTACGATTGTTTCATTTTTTCGTTTTGTCCTTTTCTATGGCGGAGGTAACTTTTTTAGCAAGATCTCGATCGGCCAACACTCTCGCCCACAGATTTCCTGATTCTTTGGGAATCCTCATAGTCCTCGCTATGAGGCGTCAGAGAGTGGTGAGCGGCAGGTGGCGTGCGATGTCATGTGGGTCCAGTCAGAATCGGTCCACCGACTCCACTAGCTTCCATCCCTCTCCAGGGCAAATCGGTTGTAACAGATTCTTCATAGATAAACATGTCTTTATCATCGGTCGATCCCAGCAATGCATTGCATATTGCATATCGCATTCAACATTCCGCTACCATTCTAAAAAGTAGTAGTATGGCGCTACCAAAAGAAGCGTTATAAACGCCGAAATATCCAAGTCTCATCCTTGCTGTAGAAAATTTCTGACTACCAGGCGAGGAAATAATCATAACCACACTTTGCCTTTACTTATCCTTTGAGTCCACGTTTTGTCGTTGGACGCTAGAGCAGAGAGAAATCCGATGAAAGTAAGAGTGCCAGCATGCCAAAAAATATCTGAGCCGCATGTGTTATCTTTTCGAAATTTGAAATCTAAACCATGAAAAAGCAAAGCAGTGGGTGCCGGTCAATCCATCTTTCCGATGACGCATTCTACTTCCATTGAGAATTGCGAAGAAATACGGTTGTGATATGGCTTCCTCCTCACCGATTTATCGGCACCACCTAAGGTGCTGCTCATTGTTCCATCTTCCTAGACGAGCCGAGCTGCCAGCCAGTTCACCGAAAAAGTACAGGGATAACCGGTTGGCGGGCTTTGGGACGTTCGATCCAGGATTCGATCTCCGCACCCTTACGTGATAACCGGCGCCCCTTGCCACCACACCACCTCTTCCTTTCTGAATTCCCAAATTGAAGCATATAAATGTTCTTCCACTCAACTTTTGTCGTTTCAGCGGAAATTAATGGACTCGGATATTGACGACGCTTCCAGGCGGAGAATCGAGAAGTTCATGAAGTTGAAGCGGCCGCCGAAGTTCCTCGAAACGTTCCTCAGTGACACGGATAGGAATTTTGTAAGTGATAATAACTGTAACGATAAAACATCCAACCTTAAAATATCCAATCTAATTGTAACGATAAAATATCGAACCAACTGCAGCATACAGTCTTTTGTAAGACCTCAGATAAAGAAATGGTAGTTGATTAAATTAAATCTAGTGATAAGAAAATCTGAATATGTTTTGGAAATTCAAAGCTTCTTCTTCGTCACATATGAAAGCATAGTGTTTCGAGAGACATAGCAAAAATACTATTTATACTTGAGCCTTCTAAATTCAATTTTGCTGCTTTTTTTCGAATTAAAACAATTTTACACGGCAGCCGAGCATGTCACAAATTTTACTGTTTCAAATTGATTACTTCCTTGGGGCATCGGCGCACAGGAGGGCGTTGATGTTGACCTTATGTAGAGTCGCCGTAAGGCACTATCAGCGCCAATCATGGTCCTTTACCCCATAAGCTCGTCAGCGCCGTCCGCCGTTTTGCGATAACGCCCAATCAGTTGCGCAAACACGTATCAGCCCGATAAGGTCAGTCGTCAACGAATTCAGGGAGCTTAACATAATTGATCGCTAATTATGCCAGAAAACCCCACCCATCTCAGGAATTGACACTCTTGCACACTCGTCGTTTTGACACGATTAACTGGAGCCAAACCGCATTTCGGCGATGGCCGTTGAAGAGTGCCAAAAGCTAAGTCCTTAGTGATACTCCATTGACAGGGATGATGTCGTCGAAACACTTATCATAAGTCGTAGCTCTACCGCTGATCCATTTATCGCTCTGAAGGCCAATTCTCTCACGTTGGACATGGGGCTTATTTTATTCGACGCAGCGGTGCAGCGCTCAGCAGTAGGGCGCGGCTAGTAGCAACTGATGCAGAGTCGCACGAACATGAGCTCAGGTCAATGAGCGAACTGGTTCACAGGAAAACCAAGGAAGGCGTTAGAGTATACTCTGTGGATGCTGCATCTTGTCATGGGCTGGGTTTGGCGAGGCGCGAGCTCGTGTTCTAGCAATTTGTCGCTTGCTCGCTTCAGCAACTGTCGAGAAACGAGCTGGCGCTACGCCAATCCTCCTGGCACGCCCCAGCATCCGCGGCGTTGATACGGAACGTGGCTAGACTGAATGACAATTCAATTCTTTATTGATTTCACTTCTATTAGGTTGTCGCATAAGTTCTTATACACGACTTTTTTGTAAATATCTCAAAAGCGAACCAGCCTGGAGATTAGAGGTATGCACCATCCACTACTCGACGCCAGCGCTCAGGCAGCTTGTCGATTCCATCCTTCCAGAACGACGGAGGCTGGGACTTGAAGAAGTCGTCGAGCGCCTTTCTGACCTGATCCTTTGTTTCGAACTTTTTTCCGTCCAGATAGCGCTGCAGGTGGCTGAACAGCCAGTAGTCAGAAGGAGCGAGGTCAGGGCTGTAGGGAGGGTGGGCGACCATCAGCCATCCGTACTTCTCCAGCTCGGCCTGGGTCGCCTTTGCAGTGTGAGGTCGGGCGTTGTCATGGTGGAAGTAGATTTCCGCATTCCTTCCACGAGTACGGTCGACGTGATCTTTCAATTTCCGCAGCTGGGTCACGTATGGAAGCGTCAATCGTCTGTCCCTTCTCCAGCAGCTCCCAGTACTCCATGCCTCTTCTGGACCACCAACAGGAGGTCAGGTGGCACACTTGGATATTCCATCTTCTTTAGGTACTCAGCCCCCTTCCATTCCAAGTAGGCGAGAGTTTCTCCAATGCCCTTCGATTCCATGTGGTGGCACCCAATGTAGCAGTACAAAGTTTCCAAGAAGGTACGGGCGACGACATGTGAGGAGGATATTCTTCACGAGTTGCTCAATGTAACCGCCAGCGCTCACCTTCAGTCCGGGGTCCACGAAGAAAATATTGGTCTTTCCATTCCAGGTACGTCCGGTCCATACCATCAACCCGCGCCTTGGCGACTGTGGTGAAGATGATGTCCTAGACCGTGGCGACGTTGTCGGAGCTGCTCGATGTTGGAGGTCATCCAGATCGAGAGTACTGGTCTCCAGGTAGCTATCCATGGGTGACTCCATACTAGAAGTTTCGCAGCTGTTTGGAGGTGACATGAATTCCAAAGGTCTTCTCCAGTCAGGCTGCGACTGGAGATGACCATGAAGGTGATGGGCGAGAGCCAGCTCCTGCTTATAGAGGAACATCTTGGGTATCTTCCGCCCTGGTACTCGTATCCACGTCCTCTGTCTGGGCAGCGAAAACTTTGCTGATATGTGACTCGGTCGAAGTGACTTCCCCCCCCCCTGTAGACTACATGCCGCATTCCTCAAAGGTAATGATCAACGGCGAAGACTTTGTCCTTTTACCCTTTGACCGATCTACAAGTCAATGCCATTTTCGTGCTTCGTGCTGGCAAACTCCGTTCTGGAACGTTTGGTTTGCCCGGGCTTGAGCAGGGCCCGCAACTTCACTTTCACAGGCAGCGAGTGCCAAACGCTCTCACTTTCCAGTACGTCAAATTCGCCGGCCCCGATTGCTAGTAGTAAAAATCCATAATTACAAAAAGTCATTTATTTAACTAATATGATATATTAGTACATCTACTTTTGTAACAGTTGCCTGAGAATATCTGTCCTTCTAGAGATTAAAGTTACAAGGAGATTTGCATCGTCCGTGCAACTGTTACTTCCTACTGATAGAATAATTCCTTGCATTCAAAAAGCACCCTTTTAGCTTCTTCAACATCACGCTGCCGGTGATTTCCATGGTTATGCTGTGTTGTTGTTCGAACGGTTATTCGAGCTACCGAAGAACGAGGCGGTGGCCGCTCTTCGCTACTTTGGTCACCTTGCCGAAGCTGAAGCATTGGAAAATGCCGAATGCTACCAATGTGAAGTACAGCGATTGGCTGAACGACTCGCACGCTAAGATCTGATCTTTTTGTAATTTGCCATCATTTATATACATGTATACCAAAGATTTCCCTCATTTACCGTACGACGACGTGTGCCAAGTCGTATCGTGACGTCACGATCCCGCCACACGGCACCACCTCACCCATTACTCTCTCAGCTTTACCAAACATCTAAGAAATTCCGCGTATTTTGCCAGAATTTTTCCCATACACCCCGGACTTAAGCGGAGTCTCCCACACTGATTACGGTTGTGAATTGTACAGGATCTGATTGCTATTCGCGATCAATAAGCTGTCTAATGTAAGATAACTGCTTCATTCAACTTACGAAAGCAAGACAAAGTTTCGGTAAAATACATTGATTAGTAGACATTGTAGTGCGAACCCCTAATAGAAGCGCTCACCTTGGACTACACTGGAGTTGCAATGCGTGCAGTATATGACCAAAGACCTATTCTGGAGGAAGGTCTTTGAAGACGGGAGCGGTTTTCAGACAGTATTTTGTGATCTTCATCGGTAAAATCCATTTTTGATAATGAGAACTCTTCAAAAACACACATTATTGTCCGTGAGCTTTCGCTTCTTAAACAGCTCGTCAGACCTAAGCACATCCGCGATAAAATAAGGCTATGACCTCTCAAATGTGTCGGACGATCCGGAAGACGATTTTTGAGGCTGCGCTACTTTCAAAATGTGAAAAACGGCAAGAACTCCGCTAGAAGCTGACTAATTAGGCCCATTGACACCCCTTAGGCCCATGCCGACCCTCACCGGCTCGCTAGCGATTTTATCTTTCTATGTGATCTTTCTATAATATACATGTTATCTTTCTCTATAACATTTCGGACTACTTTTTCTACTGCTTTTCTCCGCTAATCAGATACTTAGCACTTTTTTGTGCCTATTTGAGTTCCGTTTCCCGCAATTTACGGTCGCGACTGTTCTTGCCTTTAAATGAGAATCAAGTGATACATGGTATTACAATTATCCTAACAATGATTGCTCGAAATACAAACCAGGTTGACCTGCCCGTCAACGGCAATTTGGTTAGAGTCTGTAATACAATTCCTAATACAATGTCAAGAGTGCAACTGTGTAGGACAATCAAACTACAACGGATGACCAGCTTACCCCAGCGCAACTGCCAATGCAACTAAACGTCGCTAGAAATGTGACGCGCGTGACATTTGTCAGTACTTCTTTATCACTACCGCTATCCTATTAGCCTCATTGCTTCCATGAGCTCCCTGCTTGTTGACTCTCCGCCGGATAGCCGCTGGATACGAGCGCTTCACAGCAATTTTCTTTCAAGGGCGGCTTCCCCCTTCGTGCGGTGTATGACAGTTACTTTCAGAGTGGGTGGTGCTTCTTGCTGGTGCTGCAGAACACGATGTCGCGAGAATCCGCTCTTAGGGTAAGTAGACGGATTGCGTAACGCTCGCACGTGTTCATCCATCCTTTTATGTAGCGGTCGCATGGTTTCGCCTACGTACTTCTGACCGCATCCCTCGCACTTGATCAGAAGCAAAACATTACCACGTTAACGTGGCCAATTTTAGATTCCTGTCAGTACTGTGTCAGTTTCGTTCGCGACCACATTCGTCTTCATACAACCCGTAGATTGATGCAGTAAGCTTCTTAGATTCGCAGGTGGTCGGAATACTAACTTGATTGGAAGACGAGACGACTTAATGGCGTGGTTCACTTTCTTCGCAATTCGTTCGTAGAACGTAGGGTAAATACAATGGTATCCTCCCAGCAGCGAAGAAAGGCCTCCATGTTCTTGGTTGACACGTCGTATATCCATTCTCTTCCAAAATCATAGCTATTTTTCTGTCCACCTCTACTGATTCTCTAGTGCAGGTTTTCGTCTTCGTTGTGATAAGATTCCTTATCACGTGCCGTTCATGTTACAATGGACGGTGCACAAAGGCATACTAGAGAATCGAGTACGATGGACCGAAAAATAGCTATGAATTTGGAAGAGAATGGATATACGACGTGTCAACCAAGAACATGGAGGCCTTTCTTCGCTGCTGGAGGGATACCCGGTATACCCTACTCACACTAACGCACATGAATCGCACGAAGAAAATGAACCACCATTTAGAGTCGTCTAGTGCTTCCAATTCAAGTTTGGTATTCCGGACCATCTGCGAATCTAGAAGCTCTACACAATCATCTCGGCGTTTATGAAAGACAAATGTGGCCGAACAAGCTGCACGTGCGCTGCCACAAGAAACTAAAATCTGTTCAGTTACTGCAACAGTTTGCCTTGATGCACGTGCGAGGGATCAAGGTCAGAATACGTAGGCGAAACCATGCGACCGCTACATAAAAGGATGGATGAACACGTGCGAGCGTTACGCAATCCGTCTACTTACCCTAAGAGCGGATTCTCGCGACATCGTGTTCTGCAGCACCAGCAAGAAGCACCACCCACTCTGAAAGTAACTGTCATACACCGCACGAAGGAAGCCCCATTGGAAAGAAAATTGCTTGAAGCGCTCGCTATCAAGCGGCTATCCCCCGAGATCAACAACAGGGAGGAGCTCATGGAAGCAATGAGGCTAATAGGATAGCGGTAGTGATAAAGAAGTACTGACAAATGTCACGCGCGTCACATTTCTAGCGACTTTTAGTTGCATTGGCAGTTGCGCTGGGGTAAGCTGGTCATCCGTTGTAGTTTGATTGTTTACAGTTGCACTCTTGACATTGTATTAGGAATTGTATTACAGACTCTAACCAAATTGCCGTTGACGGGCAGGTCAACCTGGTTTGTATTTCGAGCAACTTAGTTGTTAGGAATTGTAATACCATGTATACTTGATTTCATTTAAGGTCTGACGAAGCTGTTAAGACAGCGAAAGCTCACCAATAAAGGTGTTTTGTGAACGAGTTCTCATTATCAATTTTCCGAAGAAGATCATATGAATCATGAGGCTCAGGGATAGCTCGATTTTATCATAGCTAGTTCTTGTTGCGATCAAGGCTTTTGTTTCGCATCTGAATACCAGCAATTTAAGCCGCAGAGCGCGAATGTTCGTTAAGAAGACGTTCAATTAATTCATGTACATCTTAGAGAATCCATCTCTACCGTAGTCTTAAGCGAAACTTCAAAAACTTTGAAAATGCCGGAGTAGTCCGGATCCAGTGTAGTAGAAGGGTAGAGACTGGGACGCTTTGTCAGAAAATTGCAATACTGAGACCCAAAAAGGGTATGGCGCAGACAATCAGCCGCGTTTGGCTATGTAGAGAGTGCTACACAGTTCCTGAGTGCCTGGCTGCTGCCTGCTGGGCGCTTACTGCGCGCAATCACTTTTCGTTATGTTCTACCGCTACCTACATTGGCCCGCTCGTGAAATTCTGTATCGACGCAAGGATCGTGCCGGCGCGGAGTATGGAAACGGTTCCTCCTGGTATCCCTACGCCTACCCGTCCCCGTGCACTCTTTGAGCGGAGTACGAAGTGGCAGGCGCGTTACTGAAGTTTGTGGAACTATCCACCGCTCATGGGCGAGCTCGGAGAGTGAGTGAACAGTCGTGCCTTTCTCTCGCTCACCCTTATGTTATCTCTGGAGTCGTTGCCTAAAACAACATTTCGCTGCTCCTTGGATGTGAAACAGAGGACAATTGGCCTTACCCCAGAGCAGCGTGATTCCCCTTGTGCTGCCTTCTAGCAGCATTAATTCTAGGTCCTATCATTGTCGCTAGTAGCGCATCTGTAGGGCTAAATGGCAGTCTGCAGCTTGCATATTCTCATGCAGAATCCCTTATACGTACATCGCTGCCTCCCTTTCAACTGTACACTCACTGCTCTTGCAGCCTTTTCTCTTACTACAAGAGTGCAGAGCTATGGGTAAAAGTCAGACCTCGGACGGAACTCGAACCGAGCAGTTGCGTTATCCATACGCTACCGGGGCTACTTGCAAGCTCTCAGTTCAGTGGCATTTTGTGCCATGCCTTGCAGCACTCACACGTCCAGCTTGTTGGGCCGCTTGTAGGATATCGGCGGTAAACCGCGAGGCTGAAGGTTTTTACATGTTTTGAAGCTGGTTTTACTTTTTGAGAAAAAAAAGCGTCGAACTAGGAACACCTTCAAAACTCCTCCCACTGTCCTCAGATATGCAGTGCGACATTTACGAGCTCGGGAGAATCAAGGAATACAAAAGGAACCTTCGTGCCAATCGCTTCCATCTCTTATTTTTCCTACGCATTACAGAGTCTCAGGAACCTTGATCTTTTAACTGATCTCTCGATTCTCCAGTTTTCTTTCCTGCTTCTTTACCGCAGTCTCACAAAGTCTCCCACTGGAGCGGTGTTGTGCTTCTATGATACTGCAGACGCGAGCACCCCCAACATGATGAGGAAAGTGAAAGAATTCCAATAAAAGTAAAAAAATAGTCTTTATGCGGAGGAGGACAGGCGGCAGAGCAGCAATCGGCGTGGATCGCAGCAGCTTTTTCGAGCTTATGATCATTGCCATCATAGTTGAAAAGCGTCGTGCGGAATGCCGTATCATATCGCGAGATGAGAAGGAGTTGCAAGTGAAGGGGTGGCAAGTACTGAAGATTAATCGAACTGGCATTGAAGCTATGGTTTTTTCAAACTTTTGGATTACATCTTCGCTTGCACGCGTAGACGTTGTTTTGCGTAGAAATTATTCTTTCAGCTACTGCTGCACTGGCACCGCCACAGACTCGCTAACGGAAACACCAAGATGATCGGTCTTTGGATGACAGGACGGAACAATGAGTGCATCCCAAAGGGCAATGGAGAAGGTTGTCCACGACTTCCACTCTTATTTTTTTGATAGCCATGCTCACCTGCCCTCGTGCCGCTTGGAGCAGGATGGATACGTCGTTCCTGCAGTTCTCCCTTCCGAAGTCCGACACGCCATCTCGTCGGTAAAGAATCGTACGGCACCCGGTCCCGACAGGATCAGACCCGAACATCTGAAGAATCTCTCTGCCAGTTCTTGTCAAAACTCTTGCTCGACTCTTCACGCGCTACCT